TGTTATATGTAATTTATTAAATGAAAATAAAGTGAATATAATCTGACTGGTTCTGTAGGAACAGGTAAATTTTGAGAATTTAGTTAGCACGATGCGTTTCAATAAAGCTAATTTTATTTAATCGCATAAACGTTACCATTTGAAATATCAATACATAATATTATTCAATATGTTTATTGAATAAGAATGATCATTAATTTGCTAATATTGAATTGACAATGTTCCATATTCAAAAAAAAATTAATGTATAATTAAAAAATTAAACTTTTAGATTTCTTTCAGAAGGATTAAACCTGTTAAATCTTTTAGTCTCGGATAAACTAATCAATGTTTATTATTCTTAAAATATTTTAACCTGAAATGTTTTTTCTTTTCGTTTTTTTGTTATTCTGACTTTTGCATTTTCAACTAACAAACAAAATTATGGAAAAGTGTTAGAAAAGAAAGTAATTATTAATTTAATTTATTTATTTAAACATATTGTTGCACAAATTACACAATTGATTTAATAGTTAATAATATTTTTTCGATTAATCGTTGCATTATACAACATAAATTTATCATTTTGCAAAAAAATTATTTCTTAGCGATAGCAACAAATATTGAAAAGAAATATATTTAAACAGGTCCATAGCATAAAACACCTTGTGCTGGTACCACAGCCTTTAATATATTCAAAATTTCACACATAAATTCCAATTTCCCTAATTGAAAAACATTGACAGCAACACAGTTGAAACGTACACATGCTTCTGAACATTGATTATGATCCTGGAAAAATTCATCGAAAATGATTTGTTAAGATGAGATAAGTATACGGTTACTTATCATAGGTGTAGAGTATGTATCATATATTTGTATGATAAAATTCATCATGATCTGGAACAATTCAATAATGTTAACTTCCTATATATATAATTTTACAGTGACTGATAAGCTTATCTTGAAGTTTTCTTTTGAAAGAATTTGGATCTTTAGTAAAATATATTTCCTTTGGTATTTTTTTATTAATATTGAAAAGATTTAAAAAATCGAATTTATTTAGCGTCGAAAGCAGAATTATTATTGCTACTAAGTATGAGTATGTTAAATAACCAAAATTAAAAGAAAAAGAATTTAATCTCATTAAGCAAAATCAAAACTGCTATCATTGAATTCTTGTAAAAATTTATAATTGCACGAATTAGTTAAGGAAAAAAAGTCTAGTATTGAGTGAAATATTTCGTTTCACATTGCTGTAAAGTATTTAAAATGAAATTGATTGGGATAAAATTTTTTAATCTCAGCCATATTTTTGTCGAACTGTGTTTCTCATGCATCGTGAAAATTATTTTTTTCTGGTAAATTGCTATAATGACAAAATTATATTTCATAATATGATGATATGTTGAAAAAAGCTCGAGAATTTCACCTGAACGTTCTGAATTTCATACACTTTGCCACCCTTACATTCCGCATTTGAAATTAAACGAAATGCAACATTACCAAAGGTGAAAGCTGGCGGTAATGCTGCAATTAAAATTTGCTAATTCAAATCTGAA